CGCCCCGCTTATGCAAATGAAGCCTGGGAAATTCAAATCCCGGGCTTCATTTGCAAGTGCGGTATGCCTACATTACCCTCCTAGTTCGAACTAGCGGGGTAGTGTAGACATACCCTGAGATACTAGAATGGGATCCATCCCATGGCAAATACAAAGCATTGCTAGTCTTTGTAGCTGGAGGGAATGGCTAAGGTTTGTCCATTATGTTAGGAGAAGCAATGCAATGTCTTTTCTGGAGCGATTTGTCCTGAACCAGTGTTTTCACCGGCTGCATTTGTGTTCAGCTTCACAGATGTTGATGTTCACTACGTACTTTGCCGTCTTAGTTGCACTTTACCTCATTCCCCTCACTGTCTCTTCCCCTTGTATAATGGAGAAAAAGGATCTGGGACCAAAACCTGCCATCATAGGCCATCGCGGCGCACCAATGGTAAGTAGCTTGACATTATAATTGGTCTGTCTGTTTCTTCTCCTCTTCTGCAAATTTGGTGCTGGGTTTGACTGCCCTGGAGACTGAAGTCTGCTATCCATCTGACATGTGCAGCATGACTTGGCATGTGATCTTGGGACGTACCCTCGCTCTGCCTCAGTTATCTCATCTGCCTACCTACTTCACGGTGGGTTGGGGAGCTTGATAAATTACTCAGTGCTTAGGAAAGGCACTTGCCCTGAAACTTTCAAAATCCTCCTGATTTTTAGTGGCTCACTCTTGCTCTTCATAGAGCCTGCTGAAAAGAGTTTGAAAGACCCCTCCTCCCCAACATTTTCTGTAATCCACGTTAGTTTAGCTGCATATGTCTTTGTTCTTCTGTGGGTCTGGATCATATAAAAATGTTATTGGCTGCAATGTAATAGACTTGGTCTTTTACCACAGTGGTTCTCAACTATGAATACATGTACCCCTTGAAGTATGCAGAAGTCTTCTGGAGGGTATATCAACTCCTTTAGATATTTGCTTAGTTTTATGACAGATTATTTAAAAAGCATTAGCAAAGTCAGTACAAACTAAAATTTCACACAATGATTATACTAATATATATTAAATATTATACTGTTCTTAATACTATCCACTGAACCATAAGTGCAACATTGACATTCCAATTTATTTATTTTATAATTATAGGGCAAAGATGAAAAAGTAAGCTGTGTTTTAGTGTGCTGTGACACTTTTGTATTTTTATATCTGATTTTGTAAGAAATAAGGGTATGTCTACACTACAAAGTTAGTTCGAACTAACGGACGTTAGTTCGAACTAACTTTCATAGGCGCTACACTAGCGCGCCGTTAGTTCGAATTTAATTCGAACTAACGGAGCGCTAGTGTAGCGCCTATGAAAGTTAGTTCGAACTAACGGACGTTAGTTCGAACTAACTTTCATAGGCGCTACACTAGCGCGCCGTTAGTTCGAATTTAATTCGAACTAACGGAGCGCTAGTGTAGCGCCTATGAAAGTTAGTTCGAACTAACGGACGTTAGTTCGAACTAACTTTCATAGGCGCTACACTAGCGCGCCGTTAGTTCGAATTTAATTCGAACTAACGGAGCGCTAGTGTAGCGCCTATGAAAGTTAGTTCGAACTAACGGACGTTAGTTCGAACTAACTTTCATAGGCGCTACACTAGCGCGCCGTTAGTTCGAATTTAATTCGAACTAACGGAGCGCTAGTGTAGCGCCTATGAAAGTTAGTTCGAACTAACGGACGTTAGTTCGAACTAACTTTCATAGGCGCTACACTAGCGCTCCGTTAGTTCGAATTAACGTTGTAGTGTAGACGTACCCTAAGTGAGGTGAAAGTTGGGGTACACAAGACAAATTTGACTTCTGAAATGGATACCATAATCTGCAAAAATTGAAAGCCACTCGTTTAACTCAAGCAATAGAAATATATGCCTTTATATCAAGGTCCTAGATTCCTTTCCCTGGGCGGACCTAGCCTGGGGTATTTAAAAACTCAGCACTAGAAGACATCTTTGGTGGATGACCTTTTGAGAAACAATGCTAACACGTGCCATGTGATGCAAAAACACAGTATTGTGATGCTGTACGTTAAATCTTAAAAATGGCAATCCTAAAAACCTGCTTGTGGTTGGTTGGTGATTACCCAGCAGATCATATGATGTCTTTTGTGGTTAACCACACACCACTGGCTTTCTGCACCTCCAAGCCATAAATAGATAGAACAAGCCAGCTTTTTGAGATAACCCTGTTTCTTCTGATGCTTGCTTATTCTGTGAAAGCAGCAGAGTGCCTCTGCTGATTAGCATCTTGAAAAGTCTAAGGTGGAGCCAGTCCTTTTTTTGAGGTGGGGCTTTTGCCAGCAGGCCGGTCTGTTGTGTTTAGTTCTTGGGAGTCTAAAGGCTTATCTCCACTACGCGGTGGATCAACACTGTAGCAATCGACCCACTGGCTGTCAATTTATTGCATCTGCTTAGATGCAATCAGTCGATTTCCGAGCACTCTCCCATCGATGCCAGTACTCTACCAGGACGAGAAGAGTAGCTGGAGTCAACAGGAGAGCAGTCCCCACCGACCTTACCACACAGATGACATTCTGAAAAATATGCTGACGTTAGCTATGCTATTTGCATAGCGGAATTTATGTAGATTACATCGATGGCGGGGGTTAGTGTAGACAAGGCCTTAGTGTACATTGCAGCCATTCTCAGATTAGCTGCAGTAGCAGTTGGCTGCCTTAGGAAATTAGTGTACCATATCTTCTTCATCCTTGGAGTCTTTTCCATATGGCAGCTTTGCAGGTACAGTAGACCACCGCTTGACTGTCTCTCTCCTTGCCTCCTGACAGAGAACTCTCTGTGACTGTTAAGTTTAGTAGAGGAGGGAGGGAATTGTTGTGAAGGTTAATGAATGGAATACCAAGTTCTCTTGCTGCCAGTGGTGCCCATATTCTAGATTGGGAACCCTGAATTTATGTTCATTATGTGTTTGCTGTACAAAACACGGACTTTCCTGTCATCTAATGGCTGATACGGCATTTGCCACTTTAATGGCTTTTTAAGTAATGACTTGAGTTCTGAAGCCATAAAAGCAGCGATTGGATAAAGTAGAAACCAACTGCATACTCCAGCCTGAAATTCCAGCTGAAGCTAAACCAATTTTTTTGGGGGGAGGGGGACGGGGGAAGGAGGGTTTTTTGTTTTTGTTTTATTGAGGGGTGGTTTGGGGGATGGAATAAAGGTCCATTAGTGGGAGAAAGAACTGATGGCAGGGAACTCCAATGGAAGCCTTTGAGAAGAAATGGTTTCCTGTTATTTTGGTACAAGTAGTAGCAATTTTTTGGGAGGGCTGTGAATGTCAAAAATATTAGGCTATGTCTAGACTGGCATGAAGGGTGGTTTGGGGATGGAATAAAGGTCCATTAGTGGGAGAGTAAACTTTTTCTCTGTCTGTTTTATACATATATATCCAAACCTGGAAGTACCAAAATACCCCTATAATATTCTGGTCTCTGATTATTTCCTGCCTAGCAAGAAGTCAGGGAAATTTATCTGGAGACTCCTTTGCTATTAGATTTCCTGACTTGAAGATTCAAGAGGTTTGGATAAATGTCAGTAGCCTATCTGAACCAAACGGCAAAACATATGAGAATTCATGCTTCACTTTATTTAATGATATTTCTGGGGGGAAGTGGTCATTTTGTATTGTGTGATGAAAAGGCTGCTGCTAAAATCAAGTGTCTCATGTAGCATCCCTTTCTCCCTTCCCATAACCCAGTAAATAAAGCCAATCGTTGTATAGACAGGTGGCTTATTTCAATGCTTCGCAGAAGACAAGACAAGCAAAAATAACTTTTCTGAGCTGTGAAAAAAGTAGCATAGGAAACTGCCAGCTACACTAAAAAGAAAAATGAGAATGAAAGGGAGAAGTGGTTAAAATATTTTGTATTGCCCCCACCCAGAACTATCTTGAGTGTCATCTTGAGTCTTATTGTATATTTCAGGGAGTCTCTTCTAAGCTCTCCTTGTTTGGACAAGTCTCTCTTAAATGCTGAATGACACACCAGCCTCACTTGTCATACCAAGTGTATTTACTTTCCAACCTAATTATTTTAATGCTTTGCCAAAAGGCATACCACTAATACTATCTATTTGTCACAAGAATACTTGAACTAGTTATTTTGGAGGAAATCTTACTATGTTTGCAACATGGAAAATAAAGAGTAAATGACCCAGCTAAAGGTCTAAGAAAGTGCTGCCGAATACCAACCACAGTTCTCCTTTAAATAATGTAGAGATTGAAGATCTCAAATCTAGGGAGCTGGAACTTGAGGCAGCAGTAGATCTGACAAGATCTGATAATGTTTTAGTGATTATATAACCATGTTAATCGTCCTCTTCAAAAAGAAGCAAATGTGACTTGTGCTCAAAGACTCCTTATTTAATGGAGTGTTATAGTGTCTGTGCTCGCCTGATGTGACTGCACATAGAATATTGTGTTAATGTATGGATACATTGTTGCCTTAAAGTTGTAAGTAAATGTAATGGATTTCAGCAGAAAGCCACTGCAGTGATGAAGAGGCTGGAAGGACTGTCTTCCAAGGAAAGGTTTAGTGTCCAAGAATGATGAGTAAGTGAGCGGGGTGAGCATGGAATTGATTGGGGTGGTCCAAGGAGTAAGAGCAGGAATATTGGGTTACAACTAAAGGCAGATTTAGGCTGAGAATTATGGAGAAGCTCTTCATGGTGATTGGATTGGGTGTCATACCGATGTGTGCAAGCGGTCCCCCATGGGAAGTGGCCAAAGGGAATTGCACTGTACCCCCCACAAAGGATGCATTCAGCTGGTGCAAGAACTTTAAGCCATGCACTCTTCACTTTGGCTTTCTGCAGAGCTTTTTAAAACTATAGTCTTATTCTGCTGGGCTGCAAGACAGGGTGAGATCCCGTCCAAAAGACGTGAGATGTAGGAAGCTCTGGAAGGGGGAGAGCAAAGACTTGCTGCAGAAGGGGAAGCGTGGGGATTTCCCATCAAGGAACACAGTGGGATGGATCACTAGTGTTCTGTCCAAAGTTACGTGGGTAATTTAACTCCATTTCCTTTGGGAGTCTGTTGCACAGTCTGTTAGATCTCACTGCCAGGAAACATCTCCTGGTATCGTATTCCTCGTCAATTTTCCTTTGCTTAAACTTCATCCAGCCATCCCCACTTTTTCACCATGCTAAATGTTTCCTTTACATCATTACTGTTAGCTGTAAAATCCTTTTTAGCTTCTCTCTTGGGTGTTGCCTACCTCATTTAATCCACATTTAATTCTTAGTATTTCCTTCCAAGTGAATCATCCAGCCTCCTAATAATTTCTCCTCCAAACTCCCTCTGGTTTCTCAACATCTTCCTGGTAATGAAGTTGCAATGGGGTCACTTAGGGACAGCCTAGAACTATGGGATTGCTGTGCCCCCTTAACTCTGCTTGT